CTCCCTCGCGATTTTTTTCCCATTCGCTTTGCGTATTGCTACTCACTCAACCGAGCGAGGAAAAAGGACGAAGACAAGGACATACTCAAAACCTTTAGAGCTTTTCTGGAACGGACCAGTGATAGCACCGACCATCATCTAACAGGGTCGCGACACCTGCCGTCGACCCATCAGCCCACAAGGTGCTCTTTACTCTACCTTGTATTGCTGATATACCGGGCAAGTCTTAACGTACTCCCTGACCTGGACATACATTTTAGGTCGGTAGTACAAACGCCTAGCCCTAGAAAACGTCCACTCTCGTCCTGCCGTCGGAGCAGCATGGACTTTCTCGAGCACTTGGTGCCTCTTCTCCCTAGATACCGCGAGCTTCCATGCTTCCTCGTTGTCGGAGGAAACTGTGCCCTTCTTATCTGGCTGATAATGGCACAATCTCCCTTCAATCATCTTCCATGTAGGATGTGAGTATAGGTCTTGGCATACCTCCCTGTACTATTGCAGGTACCAAGCGTCCGTTGATTCCAGCTGACTAGTCATGGCATTCACTTCGATCCCCTCGTTCTCATAGACTCTAGATAAAGCGTCTGGCACCATATTGAGATTTCTCCTTCGATATTCGATGTCAAAAACCTTGCAATGCTACAGCCCAGCGTACTAGCCTTTCTTTGGGACTTCTCATGCTGTGGAGCCATTTCAGACAACTATAATCAGAAATGACCTACCTTGAAGTAATGCCCTTCAATGTACGACGGGAACTTTCCAATGCCACACACTCTCTCTGAGACTGTATATTTCCTTTTAGCGCTTTTTAAGGATCGACTGGCATACTCAATCACATGCGCTTCTCCATCAACATCTTGCGTAAGAACCGCTCCGATCCCATTATCACTGGCGTTAGACTGCACAAACTGCCCGCGGGGTTGGGTTAGGGGGGCTGTAGTATTGGGGCGAAAGTCATCGCTTCTTGCAACCTTGCGAAAGCTCGCTCTTGCTCCTCCTCCTAGGCGAAACACACATTTTTCTTCGTCAGACGGTTTATAGGATCATTACGAAATTGGGTATAAAACGTCTATACCACGAAGTCATGCCCATGAATCGCTTCACCTGTCTCACCATCCATGGTGTTGCATATTCCAATATTAGTCTCACTTTTTCGGGGTCTGGTCTTACTGCGCCCTGGTTCACGAGGACACCAAAGTATCTTACTTATCCATTTTACAGAAGTGGCTCTTCTTTTTATTGATGGTTAGGCCCGCACCCAAAATTCGCGTCAACACCTTTTCAATGTTCCGTTTATGCTCCTCAGAAAACGACAAATGGATCCTAATCCGGGCCTAACACCTTGTAGATCAAGGTCGCTTTCGCGTATGGCTGACCAAAAGGCATCCTCTTGAATTAGAAATGCCCTAATCCTGGTACTGTAAACGCTAAAATCGGGCGTGACTCTTATTTTAGGGGTTTTTTATGGTACGCGTTACTCAAGTCCAGGGTCATCCCTGATCCCCCTGAGGATGTCATTCATAACCGGTACAGGATAGGCATCTGGTTTGGTCGCTGGTTCAATAACATCCTTCTCCAGCATATCCTTGACCAGTGCGTGCATTTCCTCTCGCATCTTGTCCGATACTAGGTAGTACTACGGCTTAAATGGCCGAGTACTTCCTACATCTATTTTGTGCATGGCATAGCTCATTACCTCTCCTCCGTCCAGAATCAATCTATTGACGAGGTCTTTAACTTCTTTCAAATGCAGTTCCATGGCTTCCCACAGTCCTACCAGCGTAAGACATGCCGTACCATCGGTACCCGCCACATCCATTGGTACTTTCACTTGGGCCTCTTTCAACCATAAATGGTGCTCATCGGGATCCAACACTGCGCGGAACTCACGTATGTTCGTACCAACATAGCAGTAATCAATAAGCAGTGGCATTGTGACGACCCTTATGTTCTTAGTGATTTCCCCCACCTTAAAAGGGAAAATCACGTAGCCGATGATGGGGCATGGAAGTCCATCAGCGAGCCTTGCGACACCTGCCCTGGACACATTTAAACCAACCAAAATTAATACCATCGTAAGGGTCAAGACCAATCAATATTTACTATATCTTCTCGGTTCGTTCATAGCCATCAGAAAAATGTCACTGACCTCACTTTTTTTTCAGTACTAATTCCAGTGATGCACTGCATCGATCCATTTCTTTCTTCGAAATGTTTGATTTCTATTAATGTATATTATATGTATATTTATTACATATTTTATATAGAATGTATATTACATATTTACTTATATGTTCTAACAAAGTCAAATCTACAGGTATTAACAAGGCGAATTATACTTATTAATGGCAACTTCATGAATGGCCATTCATCGCGTAATATAAAGTTTGTACAGGCTACCCGAGCCCATATTGTTCAGTCGATGTAAGGATTGTTGTGATTCCAGTCACGCGTTTGTTGTAAGCTTAGTTCTTTACTTGATTTCGCAATCATTACTAAATGGCTTTTCCTCCACTTACCAGGGTGGTCCGATAAGTACTTAGCCTACAAAAGAAAAACGAAAATTTTGGAAAAGTGGCGTTTTATTTTTCAACATAGTCTCCTTTTAGTTCGATACACTTGGCCCAGCGATGCTCCAACTTCTTTAACCCGTCTGAAAAATACGTTTCTTCGAGGTCTGAAAAGTAGGCTTCCTTGGCAGCGATTACCTCCTCATTTGACTCAAATTTCTGCCCGGCGAGTGACTTTTTCAAATTTGGAAACAAAAAGAAGTCGCACGGGGCTAAATCTGTAGAATACGGTGGATGGGGTAGCAGTTCGTAGCCTAATTCGACCAATTTGGCCATGGCGACGGCGGAGGTGTGAGCCGGTGCGTTGTCATGGTGGAAGAGCACTTTTTTCTTCGCCAAATGGGGCCGTTTTTCTGCAATTCGACGTCGAATCGGCCCAATAATTCGGCATAGTACAGCCCTGTGACCATTTTGCCCCTCTCCAGGTAGTCGATGTAGATCACACCTTGTGAATCCCAGAAAACGGTGGCCATCACCTTTCCGGCCGATGGGGCAGTCTTCGCCTTCTTCGGAGCACTTTCGCCGGGTAAAATTCACTGTTTCGACTGTTTCTTGGTCTCTGGTGTATACCAGTGGATCAATGTTTCGTCGACTGTCACGAAACGACGCAGAAACTCCTTCGGATTGCGCTTAAACAGCGTCAGACATTGCTCTGAAGTTGTCTCACGGTTGCGCTTGTTGTCCGGAGTGAGCAAACGCGGCACCCATCGCGCCGACAGCTTTCTCATGCCCAAAATTTCATGCAGGACATGACCCACGCGGTCTTTTGAGATACCTACGATCTTAGCTATTTTGCGTACCTTCAATCGTCCATCTGCCAATACGAGATCGTGAATTTTTGTCACGTTATCCTTCGTGGTAGCCGTTTTCGGAGCACCTGGACGTGGCTCTTCAAAAATCGACGTACGACCACATTGAAACTCGTTAAACCAATTTTTGACGGTCGTCATCGAAGGAGAAGAGTCACCGTACACAGCATTCAAGCGCTTTTTGATTTCGCTGCGCGATTTCCCTTCCAAAAACAAGAATCGAATCACCGACCGATACTGCTCTTTTTCCATTTTTCAAAAATCAACGGACACACTTGCTTTCACACGCTCTCAAAAATAAACTACAACTCCGATCCGACTGAAATTTTGACAGTAACCATCGAGAAGGTTGTACTACGTGATAGAATATTGCTTTTACGAGAGTGGCGCTATTGAGTATTTAATAAAAGAATATTTGTTAAAACGAGTAGAATGTATTTCAAGAAGGTAAAAAAATATTCTCTAAATTAGTATAAAACGAAATATAACTATAAAAAAACAAACTAACTCACTCAAGACGTATTAGGTACAAATGTTTTATAGTGAGTTAGTGGTTGAAGTATCTATGTCTTCAAATGTAATGTAAACGTAATAAAATTTTTTGATTTGTGTATTTTAAATTCCAGTGACCAGATATAAATTATCTATGATTATCTATTAAATTCTCACACACATGAAAATAACCAACATTTATGCCTGATTTATGGGAACAGTTAGTAAAAAGAAATTGCAATAAAGAGAGAACGCTGTTTCTTCACTTATATCCAGCACTGTACGGGACTTATCAAAATAATAATAAGCGTTCTCAACGGTTACTCTTCCTAGCCTACAGCTTACTTTACAACGAATTTAATATATCGCAGAGTAGTTCAATGTCTACTCAGCACTTGTTAATAAGTGCGCAATAGTCTATTTTACGTTCCTTGTCTCTTTTCCCGTTTAATGGAGTAATTTCGAACAACACGTGCTGCGTTTTTTTAGGCTTCGTCACCTTTTAGAGGTATTTGATTTTTACATTGTAAGTAAATATTTGATAAAAATTGATCATTTAACACATGGCGACCTGCACATAATCCAGGCTACTAGATAGCGGTAGCAGTATTACATTTTACGGTGGGCGCCAACTAGCAATAATTCAAATAGTTACCTACCTGTGGTAGGCATAAAGTTCCTGGCGTTGTCGTAGAATGCAAAATTATGCATTTGCTGTATGCTTACTTTTTTCCAAGTACTTTCATTAGGTTCGCAACTAAGAACCTGAAGAGAAGAGAAAAGTATTACACCACCATAATGGGTAAAAAAGGTGGTAAGGCAAAGCGTTGATCCTGACGTGATATCTCAAAAATACAAAGAGTTTTGTTAATTTTGATCGAGCTCTTCTTATAATTTGTTAAAATATTGATAAAATGAAGCTTTTACTGTTTTTATAAAGAATAAATGAGATTTCAACAAGATTAACGAGAAAAATGAAATAAGATATTAAGGAAAATATACTATCGTTGTAAAAACAAAATAGACAGGGGAATTTAATTAAGGTATAATTACTTTATTAGAGTATTATTAAAATTGGTTTTATAAATTAATTTGAGAAAATTTCGGAACAGAAGCTTGATAAACTCACGTTGATGCCATGGCGAAAGCGGTGAGAGTACCTTGTGCAAGACCAGCATAAAATTTGAAAGGATTCTTTTTCACAATAACTAAATAGATAAGTTGAATTATGACTAATTGATAAAAGAATACTCCAAGAACTATCGTGATAATGAACCAGGCCAATTGAGACATAACTAATGAAATATCCACAACTCCGAGAATTTTTCCGGCTATAACCGATGTGATGCCAATTGGAGTCATCCTGTAAAATATATTATAAAATTTTGTAAATGTACCATCTGGTATTTCAATCCCATCAACATTACGAAGATATACGTATATTAGTCGAATAAACATATCCAAAGTATTTAATTGTATTTTTATTATTGAAACTAACTAAAGTTTTATATGTCCAATATGTTAAAATTGATTTATTACAATAAACAGTTGTAATAATTTCTAAAATAATAACTATACATAGTAGAAATTATTCCTCTAAATAATCAAGGTAATAATAGTAGACTTTGGATATTTTTCAAGATACGACTTTTAAAATAAATGCAAGAAAGCTCTTTTTGACCCAATAAGTATTCCTTGAGGTAATAAGAAACTTAAAAAAGGTCGATAATATGGATAATTGAACTATCTCTTAATAAAATAATATTGTATCATGATAAGAATTTAAACATGCATTTAACGTTACAAGGAATAATTTACAAAAGTACTAACGATAATGTCGAATGAAAACTACTGTAATTATTGTAATTAATTATGTAATCCAAATATCATTGTCATTATGACGTCGCGCGGTTCGGAGTCGCCATACTTTTCTCTATACAAATATTACAAATGTTATCCGTCCACAAAAGCTGGTACAGAGGTTTGCTTAGTGTGTGGAAACTTCTATCACACTAGTGAATTAATGTCCACATACAATACAGTAAGCTCCATCAAATTCACAAACAATTCATTCGTAATCTGCCAAGAACATCCTAACCTTGCACTCACCTCAAATCTACCATATGCTAATTTGAGTGAGGACGCAAGACAACAGATAGCTCAACTTAAACTTGTAAGTAGACAGTAGATAAAACAGAAAATATTAAATGAAATTATACATGAAAAACAAACAGAAAATGGCCAAATAATGGCAACGATAACGTATGAAAATTTCGAAGAACTGCAAGCTCTGAAAATTGAAAACAATTTATTAAAAAACTTATATAATGATAAAAAAGAAAAAAAAAAAATTGCTAAATAAATTATTGTTGAAAGAAAGATAAAATAAACTGATAACACCATTAAAAAATTCATATGTTGAGGTTACGATAATGCCGAAATCTACTGCAAAAAAAGTACCAAGATTGACAGTTGAAAAAACAACTAATAACGACAATACTAATCTAGAAAATGTTGTAGCCCATTATTTGACCAAGGATAAAACTCTTCAAACTAAAAAATTACATATAAATAAAAATAAAGATACAGTTGTAATAAATTTGATGAATGAAGACAACGTAAATACAATTAAAAAAATACTAACTAAAAACCTATCAAATAATATTAAAATTGAAAAAGAACAACTTAGAAAACTAATAGTTAAGATTACGGGAACTTATAAAGCTTTCACAACAAATGAAAATGATATTGAAACAGACATTAATCAATGAAATTGTAGCAACTTCAATGATAAATGTAAAGTCTTACATGTCTTCTCAAGTGATAGACTAAACACAAGTGGAATATTAATTAATCTAATTTATGCAAACATATCAAAAATAACAAAAATAGAATATTCATTGGATGCTAAAACTGTAGAATGTTTCACATCGTTAACACGTATCCTTACCATAAGTGCTCGAGATTTCGCCACAGTGACAATAAATGTAAAAATGAAGCTACGTGCATCAACTGCACTGGCAATCATACAGTTGACAAATGTAATAATAATACCACTAAATTGACGATTGATACGGGACTTGAAGCTGTGGCTTGGAAGGAAATTTGGTGATGTAAATTTCTACGTCACCCAGCTCTTGACAGGCTACGGATACTTCCGACGGTACCTTTACAATATGAACAGACTACGAACACCCGACTGTAAGTAATTTGGACTCGAACGAGACGACGCGGAACACACGTTTTTCGCGTGTAACCGCTGGACAAGACTCAGACAGAAACTGGAAGAAACAGTCGGCAGTATCACCCCCGATAACATTGTGGCTGTGATGTTGCGTGAACCCGAATGGTGGCGCTTAGTCGCTTCCTATACGGAAACTATACTGAGACGTAAGAACGCGGACGGCTGCCTGACAGATGACTGAGCAGACGAAGTGACGTGACGTAACGAGATACGGAGAAACGACATAATATTAACATAGTCTCTGGCTGGGGGAAGGACACCAAGGAGATGGCGGTTTAGTGGGTAGTCCTGTTTTTTTTTCGGGGAGTCCCACATAACCCCTCAGTCAGAAAGACTAAGGGGAATTCGAAAAGGATTTCAAAAAGGATTCCGCAACTCCTTGTAAAAAAAATGCCCAAATTGCTTATACCACAATGAAAAATACAATACGAAATATAACGTGAATCACACAACAAACGATAGTTTATTGTGTGAAGTACTCAAAATCCAAATAAAAAAATAAAGCGAATTAACAGACTGCCCGGTACAACTTACTTACCAGCACTACTTTGGTAAAACAGAGCGCACTTTCAGTCATCAACACATAACAAGCGTACAGGAGATAACAGACCGACAATTAAGATTAACAAGTAGTCAATTATTATCGTCTTTATCCTCGCAAAGTCTATAAAATAATACACCAATTAACAGGAACAAAAATGGAAAGTGTTCATGTAAATATTAATATTGAAAAAATTGTTGATGATACATGCACCTTAAATAAATATTTAGAACAAAAAAAAAGAACGTGTAATATGCATACATATTAAAAGTATTAATTTTAGCCAATTATAACAAACTGCTAACTTTTATTAATAATCTAAATAAAAAACCTGGTATTATCATTGTTAGGGTGAGAAGGACTGAGAGTGGAAGTTTTAAAACATTTGATATGAGAACGCCGGATTTATTCAACTCACAATAAATTACCTTAAATATAACAACTAAACCGGAATGCTCGGAACCAAAGTAAGATTGCAATTAAAAACTAACGGTACAAATTGCATTTATAAAGGTTTGAAATCTCAATCGCAAACTGAGTTAGTTAAATTAAGAAATGATTAACTTTATGTCGGCACGAAAATCGTATCTCTAAATTTTACAAAGGTATAGTTGACGGAAGTACAATTAATAGAGTTCAACGATAAGCGACTTGCCTTTTGTCAGAGCCTGATCTAGAAAGAATGAAACGCATCGCCGCGCCAGCTGAGTCCGCTCCAACTGCTCCTTTCTCTGTTTGATTGGATCGAGTCGAAGTCTGTGATGATTCCGACCGTGCGCTAAAGATTGTGCCGTGTTTTGGTGGCTCGTGTTGCGTTGTTTGATATCGCCGACTTTCGGCTCAAACAACGGGGTGACGGACGCTCAATGTCCGTCGTCGGCAATCAGCTTTGAAAAGTAACCTATCAACCAATCTGATTGCCACAATGCATTTGCCATCTTTTTTAGCGATGTATGCATTTTGGCGAGTTTGGAGGCAATGATCGTAGCAATGTTGAATAGTAAAATCTGATTCCAAATCGCAACTCAGCTTGATGCGGCGCACGCCTCTCTCACACACTTATTTCAAGTAAATAATATTTGTAGTGTTGCTTAAGAGTTCGAAGAGGCCGTAATTAAATTTAACAACAAAGGAACCAACCGACAAATATCGGCAGATAAGAGATTCTTTTAAAAATAAGAGTGTCGATGCCGCTACGCATGGTCACTCGATCTTGATTTCGAGTTCGATATCGCACGCGCGCAGATTAGCAAAACAGTCCGCGGCGTAATGAAATGATCTAAGCGCAATGTCTTTGTCCGAAAATTCTGTGAGAGCATATTTCAAAATACATCCGTAACAATCATATGCATAGAAAATTGGAATGTTGATTATTTTCCGATATTCAACATTGCAGGCTACAATAACAGTAGAATAAATAAATGCGATGGAGTAGTAATATATATCAGAAATTATAGAAAAGAAAACAGAATTAGTACAACATAACAACTTTAACCGATTAACGCTCACAGGACGGTTTTTCGAGACCTGAATTTGAACTATTCTCATGTCATGAATTCTCGTGGAAAAAATTCAGGAACCATTGTTTCTTATGTTTTCAAGTATCCTCTTTCCAATGATGCTGGTTAAAATTGTCGCTGAAAAACTTTTACGGTCCAAAAATCACAAATAAATAAAAAAAACATGATTTTCTGATTTCATTTTTTTTTAAATCGACTTTTCGTTCCCTAAGCATTTTTTTAATGCGTAAAACCCTTATAGATCGCGGCCTCGAGGTTTTAACTACAAGTTAGTATGGTTCTCCGGATACGAACATTTTTCGTATAAACAAAATGGCGGCCGAAGTGAAAATTTTTTATCTAAAACTTTACAAATTTTTTTCTCGAATACTATAGATTTTCATGAAAATTTTCAAAGAACAAAAATATCTTAGAATTAGTTATAAAATACTCTCAAATTTTTTCGGAATAATTCGAGAAAATTTTGGGATTTTGGAAAAGTCTCTGAATTGAAAATTCAAAAATTATGTCGGAAAATTCTGAAAAAATTTGAAAGCGTTCTTTGTTTGTTTTTAAGACATTTCTATTCTCAGAAAAATGTTCCTAAAGAGTATACTTTTCGAGAAAAAAAAAAATTAAAGTTTGCTAAATAAATATTTTGTTTACCAAAAATGAAAACGCCTTCAGCCATTTATATTATCTAAATGTTGCCCAATTCTCACCACGAGGAGGTAGACGTTACCGAGAATCTCGTTTTTTTTTTTGTTTTTATTTTAATTTTTTATGTAATTTTTTTATCATCAGCCATTATGACAAATGAGTTTTATTGAAACATTGGACACGGAAACATAAATTGCAGCCCTCACAAATCTTGTTACTTCTAACTGCGCATTTTCCTTCATTACAATTTTTCTTTGTTTCACAAGTTTTTAGTGAATGGTACTTCTTTGTCTTTGATAAATATTGTCGACTAATCTCGAGAGCAAATTCTTTTGTACCAACTTTTCGATTATTTTTGTTGCACATGTTGTACAAAACAGTAGCATTAGTTATGGATGATTGTATCAAGCGTTGAAAAA